GGCCGGGCCGCCCCCTGGGCCCCGATCCCCGCGCAGCGGCCACCTCGGCCCGCAGGTCCCCGCCCGCGGCTGCCAGTCTCAGGCGCAGCAAGGTCGTCTTCAGCCTGTGGCAAAACAGGACACACAGCTGCTTCTTTCATGACAGTCACTGCGACAGTTATTTGGTGACAAATAATCATGAGTTGATCTGTGATACGAATGGATCTACTGTGGCCTATTATTTACACTTTAAAATTTTTTTTTTGTTCTTTTGAGACAGGGTCTCACTATGCATTTCAGGCTGGTCCTGAACTCACTTTGTAGCCCAAGCTGGCCTCGAACTCACAACGATCCTCCTGCCTCAGCCTGCAAAAACAAACTTTATTTTAAAGAAAAAGAAACCAGCCGCATGCGGTGGCACACACCTGTAATCCCAGCATTCGGGAGCTGAGGCGGGAGGATCCTTGCAAGCTCGAGGCCAGCCTGGGCTATAAAGTGAACTCAAGGCCAGCCTGAACTGCATAGCAAGACCCTGTCTCAAAAAGACCAAAAAATAAATAAAAATAAAAAATAAAAAAAAAGAAAAGAAACCAAAAAAACAAAATTCCAAAACAATAGGATAGGAGGATAACAATGGTTAATACATTGCGTATTGTTATCTTTAAATTAGTTACTCAAGTACGACATATCAGCATTTACTTGTCCAAACAATATTAACACAAACCTATCTCCTCAATGAACTGAGAGAAATTAGTAGTATAACTATTTTAACTATCTTTTGTACATACATATATATATTTTTTTCCTTTTGCTTTTCCTTTCCTTCTTTTTTTTCCATTCCCCTAAACCAGTTATATTATTTAAACTTTTTAAAATTGAAGCTGGGCATGGTGGTACACACCTATAATCCCAGCCCTTGGGAGGCTGAGGCAGGAGTATCACTGCAAGTTCAAGGTCAGCCTGGGCTACAAAGTGAGCTCAAAGCCAGCCTGAATTGCATAGTGAGACCTTGTCTCAAAAAGACAAAATAATAATAATAATAATTTTTTTTAAAAACTTAATTTTCTGTCCCCAGTCACACAGTAACTTTGAACTAGGAGACATTATGGTATACTTTTGGCTGTTCTATTATAATGATCACACACTCATCTTGTAAAAACTATGTATTTGTGCAAAAACTTTTTTGGGGGGCTGGGGATATAGCTCAGCACCACAAGCGCCAGCCTAGCAAGGGCAAGGTCCTGAGTCTGAGTCCCACTACCAAAAAACAAAACAAAAAAAAAACCTTTTATTTTTGAGACAGGCTCTCACTCTGTAATTCAGGCTGGCCTTGAGCTCACTGTGTAGCTGGCCTGGAACTCTCTGTCATGCTCCTGCCTCAGCCTAACAAGTGTTGGGATTACAAGTGTATGCCACTACTCCAGATCAAAACCATTTTTCTTTTAAAAATTATATAGTTTTCTGGACAAGGTGGCACATGCCTGTAATGCCATCACTCAGGAGGCTGAGGCAGGAGGATGGCTGTGAGTTTGATGGTAGCCTGGGCTACATAGTGAGTTCAAGGACAGCATGAATTACAGAGTGCAATCCTGTCTCAAAAAGAAAAAAAAAACTTATATATTTTAAAATTTTATATATGTATACATGTCTGTATTGAAATGTAACCATTATAAAACATAAAACTGCCAGTTTCTTAAAAGTGATAAATATAAACAGAAATTTTAATATTTCCTTCTCCCACCCCACTTGTCTGTGTCCTGTGTATGTGCTCCATATCAGGGTGGCTCCTTCACAGCTTCCAGTAACATCTACTGAGCCTACCTATCGTGGACGTCAACCTTTCTCTTGTTAACTTGACCTAACATCTTGCTTTTTGCCACCACAGCAGATTCATGATGCTGCAGAAGAGTTGCTGGCCCAGCTTCCCAAAATCCATGTGTGGAAGCCTTTACTGCCGAGGTGATGGGGCTGCGAGACCAGGCCTGTGGGAGGCTACGAGGCTAAGTGAGGCCACAAATGAGGCCATAAGCGAGGCTGCTGAGTGAGTGCAACTGTGCTCTTCTGAGAGGTCTGCACGCCCACCCCATCCTCACTGCCTCACCGTGTGGGGACTGAGCTAAAAACAGGCAGTCTTCGAGATAGGAAGCTGTTCCTCAGCAGATGGCAGCCATGCTGGAGCCTGATCTTGGCTCTAGAACTGTGAGAAAATGCATTTCTATTGTTTAAAAGCCCCTACCTATGGTGTTTGGTTATGGCAGCCCAAGTCAACTAAGATACGCTGTGTGCTTATTCCGACATTTATGGATGTGGCCTTGGGTGTGTCATTGAAGCTTTCTGTGCTCTGTGTTTCCTTACTCATAAATAAAGATACAAATAGTACCTGCCTCATTCGATTATTGTAAAGAGTAAGTGATTTACTATACATAAAGTGCTTGAACGCGTGATCTCACACTATAGCCACTGTAAGCGTAGTTGTTACTAATCACATATTACTTTATCCAGATAAAGAAATCAGGGCATGAAATACAGCTCAAAGGTGGATGGATAGAATCTAGTTTAATATCCACAATCTCAAGTACTCTTTCTGTTGTTGTTTGTTTTTGTTTTCTCTTTCAAGTATTCTTTAGTTGTCCACCCAGAAGCAAGGTTCTTGGCTAAGGCTTGGGTGAGCATCCTCCAAAGGTCTGCGTGTTGAAGGCTCAGTGTTTGGGGTGACGTGATCAAGTGATTGTGGGAAAGCCTCAGGTCACTGAGGATGTGGCTTAAAAGAACACTGTGTGACCCATTCTCTTCCTCTCTGCTTCCTGGCTCATGAAATAAGCAGTTTGTTCTATCATGTGCTTGTACCATGATGCACCATACTCAGAAATGGTGCCACTCACCTTGGTCTAGAACCTGTAGAACTATGAGCCAAACAACCCTTTTTTCTTTATAAGGGGATTGCCTCAGGTATTTCATTACAGTAACAGAAAACTAACTAATATATAGCCCACACAACCTCTGACTTTACCAGATTCTCAAATTCTCCATAATGTAAGAGTTACTGACTTTGAAGAATGCTCTAGTTCTGTAATTTAAAAATGATGCTCTGAATGTCTTTGTAGGGTTATAATGAGAAAGAAAAAGTGGCCCTCAGCATCAGAGGACTAGTCTGACACAACATTGTTTGAAGCTGGCTTGGTGCTCACAGCTAAGCCATGTTATTCTCAAGCTAGACAACCCACAGAACATCAGCTGTCAGACAAGTCCACTGGGAAACCACAGTACAGTGAGATGAGCAAGTTTACTGCACAGTTCTGACTAGGACAGACAAAAACAAGGTCACCGCCGTCCACGAAATACCAAATATCCTTTTTTCTGAGCCAATAGGAGGGACTGCAACTGCCTTACCAATCACAGCTTCACCCTTGCTCCATCTGCTTTCCTTGCAGATAAGATTTGTTGGGAAACAAGAAGAATTCTCCCTGCTTTCTGGCAGCACGAACTCTGCAACAAACCCCCGCTTCCTTGGGTCCTCCCAACCACCACTGAAGTCCCAGCACCATGACAGGCTGTAACCCAGGTTTCGAGATGCAGCTCTCTCCCCTGTGGTGTGCATTTCCTCTATCTTCTCTCCCTCTTGCTGTAAGGAGCCCAGCCCAACTCGCCCAACTCCAGGTTGTTCCTGGTGGTATTTGGCTGGAAAGCACTGGCATAAATGTCTTCAAAATGTACGGACCGCTGGGGATTTAGCTCAGTAGCACAGCACCGGTTCCCGGTACCGGGGGACGGGGGAGCGGGGTGTACAGACCCTCAGAACACTCGTTCTTCCATCTGTTTCTGTCTCTCCTTCCATCTCAGATTCCTGTCCAGGTTTTGTTTCTTTTTAATAATGTTTAGTTGCTAGAACATTTATATTGTCACTCTTTTTTTTTTTTTTTTTTTGGACCAGGAATGGAACTCAGGACCTCATGCTTGCCGGGCAGGTGATGCGCTGCTGAGCTAAATCCCTGGCCCTTCCTATTCAAGTTTGATCCCAGAGATTCACCTTGGAAACCACTGATACAGTATATTTTGGAGGTAAGAGCTATCAGCTTTGCTACTCATTAAATTTCATTTTGGGGAAGTTATTTAACTTGTTTGTGTCTCCTTTTCCTCATAATAATACCCCTTTGTATTTTTTTGTTTGTTTGTTTATTTGTTTTTTGAGACACAGTCTTGCTATGTAGCTGGCCTTGAACTCATGGTGATCCTCCTGCCTCAGCCTCCTCAGTGCTGGAGTTACAGGCATGTGCCACCACACCGAGCCCCCCATATTCTTAAATGAGTTAGTAGTATTTATAATATTAAATCAGTCAATATATGTACATAAAGCATTTAGAACATTCCTGCAGACAGCAAAAGATCAATATAATCTTTACTTTTGCTTTTAAAATAAAGATCCCTAAAAATAAATAAGTAAAATAAAATAAAAACCACTTGTTCTCCAGGACTGTGACCATTTTTCTCTGTCTCTATCACCTTTGGTGACTAGGGCAGGAGCTCCACGGTTCAACATACACTCCCCCGGGGTCTTGGTGATGCTCTGAGGCCTTTATTGAAGTGTTTGGCAAGAAAAAAGAATAAAGCAATACTGCTTCGGGCATGGTTCCACATGCCTGTCATCCCAGCACTTGGGAGCCTGAAGCAGGAGGATCACTGTGAGTTAGAAGCCAGCCTGCGCTACATAGTGAGTTCAAGGCCAGCCTGAAGGACCTAGAGAGACCCTGTCTCAAAAATAAATAAATAAATACACGAACATTCTTGACATTGAATCCTTTGTGGGTACAGATGTCTAAGCAGAGTGTATTCCTTTTTGTCTGGTGTGGAATAGGCCTGATGTAGATACAGCTTTCAATTTTTATTTTTGGTACGAGAGGCTTTACAGTAAACTACATCTGCCAGCCTTTTTATTTTTTATTTTGAGGCACAGTCTTGCTAAATTACTAAATTGCCCGGGTTGGGCTTGAACTTGCAATTCTCCTACCTCAGCCTCCCAGAGTCGGGGGTGGGGGGGTACCATCAGGTTTCAGAAATTTAGGAGAGTACCTTTTCATCTCCTCCTGTTGCTTCCAAAAAAGGTCTTTCACTGACATGTGCTCTTCACGAAGTTGAAAGAGACTGTCCTCCAGTTCCTCTCGGCTCATCCTGCTCAAGGCTGCTTGGGCTTTTATATTCTTACCTAAAGACCGAGGAGAGGGTAATGTTTTGGAGAATATTTTTATGTGCAACATTTTTGGTTTTGGGGCTGGGGATATAGCTCAGAGGCACAGCGCCTGCCGAGCAAGCACAAGGTTCTGAGTTCAATTCCCTGGTTCAAAAAAAAGCAGGATAAATATTTTTGGTTTTTGTTTTTATGAGACAAGATCTGACTAGGTAGTTCAGGCTGGCCCTAAATGTTTATGATCTTCCTGTCTCAGCCTCCCGAGTGCCGCGATTACAGGTGTGTGCCACTGTGCCAGGCTACATGCAATTTTTTTTTTTTTTTTTTTTTGTCTTTTTGAGACAGGGTCTCACTCTGCAGTTCATGCTGGCCTTGAGCTCACTTTGTTGCCCAGGTTGGCCTTGAACTCCCAACGATCCTCCTGCCTCAGCCTCCTGAGTGCTGGGAATACAAACTTGTGTCACCACTAATGCTGGGCTTGAATTTGATATCTTCCTGCTTCAGCCTCTCAGAGTGTTAGGACTGTTTTTTTTGTTTGTTTGTTTATTTTGTTTTTTTTTTGAGGCAGAGTCTCACTATATGGCTCAGGATGGCCCCAAATTCAAGATGCTATCAACTCAACCTTCTTAGTATCTGATGTCACAAGCATATACCACTATGCGATGTCTTATTTTTTATTCTTTTGAATAAAATGCTATGAACATTCTGATAAATGTCTTCTGGTACATGTATGTAAGAATTTCTGTAAATTTTATATGCAGAAGTAAAGTTGTGTCTTGAACTATAACTACATAATGCCAAGGTTTTCACAGAAGGGTTGCATGTGCTAGTGGGCAGTGCATGAAGTGTCCTATCCTTTTAAAAAATTATGAAGTGAAAATAGAATCAACAGCCAGGTGTGGTGGCACACGCCTGTAATCCCAGCACTTGGGAGGCTGAGGCAGGAGGATCATTGCAAGTTTGAGGCCAGCCTGGGCTACAGAGTGAGCTCAAAGCTGACCAGCCTGAACTGCACAGCAAGACCCTATCTCAAA